CGCATTGAGCTGGCCTACACCTTCACGCTCCCGGAGGCCTCCCTGAAGCTGCCCCAACGGCCCAGGGAGTATGATGAAGCTGCCTACAACCATCGGCGCCGCAGTGTCGAGTGGGCGAGACAGACGGCGGAGGCGCGCGAGTCGCACCTGGAAGAGCTGCAGTCTGCTCTGCCCCGTAGCCCCGGGCGCTTCATGCCCGACGAGAGCTGGGCAGCGAGTGCTCCATCATCGCAAAGCTTGAACCCCAGCTTCTTCCAGGAGGTTCCCATGGAAGAAGCTGCTTGACGTGAACCGGATGTGTAGACAAATGTTGCATGCGCGAGAACGTAGGGCTTCTGTAAAGTAGGTGATGCATGGCCAGTCTTTTTTTCCGGTGTCAGGTGCGGGGCGTCAGACAGGTTTCTTCGGCTTTCAAAAGACTCATGTTGGTATGAGACGATGGGCACCCTCTTCTTGCCGTGGGGCGGTTCCCCTCCATGTTTCATGCATTTAATCTCATAAGACATGCGCGCTTCAACCCTACCCCCAAACCCTAAAGCCTAAACCCTAAACCCTAAGCCCCCCCCTAAGCCCTAACCCCTACAGCCTCGTTTATGATATTTGTTGTTGGTGCAGAAGCGAGACCATGTACAAAAGTACTTGTGTCAACCGGGGGTTTAGGGTTTAGGGTTTAGGGTTTAGGGTTTAGGGTTTAGGGTTTAGGGTTTAGGGTTTAGGGTTAGGGAACCTTGGGTGGAATGTTGGGGGAACTTTGGGAAGCTTTGGGAAACTTTTGTGAGCCTTGGGAAGTTCAGGGAATTTTTGGCGAGTTTTGGCGAATTTTGGCGAAATTTGGCGAACTTAATTTAAACCCTAAGCTCTCAACCGGTTAGTTCAAACCCTTAGCCCTAAACCCTAAACCCTGAACCCTAACCCCTAACCCCTAAACCCTAAACCCTAAGCCCTAAACTCTAAACCCTAACAGTCTCTAAGGTCGCCTCGTCACCTTCCCGCCATGTTGTGCTTCGCAGCCTTCGCGGAGAGACCCGCCAGATGTCGAACGTCAAAATTTACCAAACCTTTGCAACTCGGTTTAGGGTTTAGGGTTTAGGGTTTAGGGTTTAGGGTTTAGGGTTTAGGGTTTAGGGTTTAGGGTTTAGGGTTTAGGGTTTCGGGTAGGGTTTTTATTAAAGAACTGCTGACAAACTAAGAATAGTCTTCTTTATAGGGCAATGAAGGGACTGTTATTCTTTATCTTATTGGCATTGCTTTTATTTCCCCTTTTTGGGGTTCAGCAAATAGTAGAATACCCTGTTGCCCTTTTGTTCTCAAGGCTGCCCTTTTTACATATGAGTGGTGGATCGGAAATTGGGGGCACCTCATTGTGGCCCTTATTCTCAGGGAATCTTCAACCCTAAACCCTAAACCCTAAACCCTAAACCCTAAACCCTAAACCCTAAACCCCAAACCCTAAACCCTAAACCCTAAACCCTAAACCCTAAACCCTTATTTTCGGAGTTTTACCGAGGCAAGCTTCTACAAGAGTGTGCGGGAGGTCACCGGAGCCTGTGACTTTGTCATAGCTGGGTACCATTTTACATTTTTCAGGGTACTTAAACCCTATAGAGAATATAAACTTAAAGTATGAAGATTGTCCTGGGTAGCATTTTACATTTTTCAGGGTACTTAAAACCCAATAGGGAACATAAACTTAAGATTTTAATATTGTGCCAACCATGAACTAGGTGATGGAGGATACGATGTTGAGCTGGTACACGGAACTCAGATCTTGCAGCCAGAGCTCTGTACACCCCTTGCACAACTGGACGTATTCAAAAGCCTCCCCATGGTCGAGCTGTCCTACATCTTCCGCGATCCGCACTTCTCAGGAGATGGTCTGTCAATTGGATTCGACAACTTTGCTGAATACAACCGCCGCCGCCGCACTGTTGCTAGGATGGCCAGTACCCTTCTTCCCTTTTTTGGGGGTTTAGGTTCCCTTACAAACCCCTTTGAGCAACAAAATGTAACCCTAAACCCTAAGCCCTAAACCCTAACCCCTAAACCCTAAACCCTACACTCTAAACCCTAAACCCTAAACCCTAGGTTGAGTGGGCCGTACGTTCGGCGGAAGCGCGGGAGATACGCTTAAGGCAGCTGTCGGCGACCTGGGGCGAACGGAGCCTGGGACGCCCAAAGAAGCCGGGCGAGGCAGCTTGGGTTGAGGCTTTAGGGTTTAGGGTTTAGGGTTTAGGGTTTAGGGTTTAGGGTTTAGGGTTTAGGGTTTAGGGTTTAGGGCTTAGGGTTTAGGGTTTAGGGTTTAGGGCTTAGGGTTTCGGGCTTAGGGTTTAGGGTTCAGCCACCTACCGCGAAACGTCTTACGAACCATCCTTCACTAGCGAGTATAGCTTCTTCATTTAATTTCAATGCCGACCGTGACTCCGTAGTGCCTCGCCATACCTCGCCAGTTTGCCAGGTGGCCGATGCAAGTTGGAGCATTCCGCTTCCTTTGCCCTTCTAGCAGTCGAGAGCACGATCAGGAGGGGGCACACCTCAGTAGCTTCTATGCATTGACACGGCAAACTGCCCAAAAACTCCAGCACCCTAAACCCTAAACCCCAAACCCCAAACCCTAAACCCTAAACCCCAAACCCTAAACCCTGAACCCCAAACCCTAAACCCGAAAAACCCAGACCGTGAGACCGCTGAAGTGTCATGAAACCGTTGAGTTTTCTTTGGATGTAGCTACCCTAAACCCTAAACCCTAAACCCTAAACCCTAAACCCTAAACCCTAAACCCTAAACCCTAAACCCTAAACCCTAAACCCTAAACCCTAAACCCTAAACCCTAAACCCTAAACCCTAAACCCTAAACCCTAAACCCTAACCTAAACCCTAAACCCTAAACCCTAAACCCTAAACCCTAAACCCTAAACCCTAAAACCTAAACCCTAAACCCTAAACCCTAAACCCTAAACCCTAAACCCTAAACCCTAAACCCTAAACCCACAACCCTAAACCCTAAACCCTAAACCCTAAACACTAAACCCTAAACCCTAAACCCTAAACCCTAAACCCTAAACCCTAAACCCTAAACCCTAAACCCTAGACCCTAAACCCCAAACCCTAAACCCTAAACCCTAATCCCTAAACCCTAAACCCTAAACCCTAAACCCTGAACCCTAAAACCCTAAACCCTGAGCCCTACACGGTTCGGCCCTTCATTTGGCTAGCATGACTAGGTTGGCCCTTAGGATGTTCTAAATTAACCCTAATTAAGCCCTAAGCCCTAAGCCCTAAGCCCCAAACCCTAAACCCTAAACCCTAAACCCCAAACCCTAAACCGCGGCATATTTTATATCTACCCTTATTGGGCTCTCAGACAATGGATGTGGCCCTGAGGACCGTATCGGCGATCCAACAGTTCGTTCTTGAGCTGGAACCTGGCGGTTTAGGATTTAGGGCTAGGGTTTAGGGTTTGGGGTTTAGGGTTTCGGGTTTCGGGTTTAGGGTTTAGGGTTGAGCCAATGGTTTGGTTTCAAGACGGCAGTGCAGTGCAGCAGCAAGAGAGGCAAAAGTGTTCCCAGCCCTGGAAACCAACCTCACCCCCCTAAACCAATTAGAATAGGGTTTAGGGTTTAGGGTTTAGGGTTTAGGGCTACTATAGGGGCCTGAACAATTAGAACTTGGTTGGGGGTTGTTAGAGTATACTTACAAAGGGACCATAGGGAATATTATTAGTAATGATTCCGACCCCTATAGTAGACCCCCTATATGATCTCGTGAATTCCTCTTCTCCCTTCCCCCCCCCAAAAAAAAACAGGAACACCATAACCTTAAATGCCCTAAGCCTAAACCTCACCCTACTCCAGGCGAACCCTAAAGCATTCTTCGGCTGTTACAAAAAAAATGGACACAGGCGCCTTGATTCCTAAAGCCTGAAGACTAAACCCTAAACCCTAAACCCTAAGCCCTAAGCCCTAAGCCCTAAGCCCTAGACACTAAACCCTAAACCCCTAAACCCTAGACCCTACAACCTTTGAACCCACAAGCACAAACCCAGACCCAAAGAACCCCCTCCCGGGACCTTCATTCCCAATCCAAAGAGCCCAAGTTCTCAACGCCCCCTGAAACGCTAAACCCCAAAACCCTTGTCCCTCCACCCGAAGTATCAGGGTTGCAGATGTCGAAAATTTTTTTAATTTCCAGGCCCAAAACCCTAAGCCCTAAGCCCTAAACCCCAAACCCCAAACCCTGAACCCTAAACCCTAACGCCTTGTAATTTCAGGGTTAAGGGTTCTGGCTTGACTAGCTTGGCGGAAGAAGCTGAAACCCTAAACCCTAAACCCTAAACCCTAAACCCTAAACCCTAAACCCTAAACCCTAAACCCTAAACCCTAAACCCTAAACCCTAAACCCGAAGCCCTAAACCCTAAACCCGAAACCCTAAACCCTAAACCCTAAACCCTAAACCCTAAACCCTAAACCCTCATTGCTTTCATTGCTTTGGCTCGTAGGTTAGGGTCTAGGGTTGAAGGCTTGAGGGTTCAGGGTTTGGGGTTTAGGGTTCAGGGGCTTATAAGGGTTTAGGGGTTTAAGGGTTTTAGGGTTTTAGGGTTTTCGGGTTTTAGGGTTTTAGGGTTTTAGGGTCTTAGGGTTTAACGGTTGAGGGTCTAGGACCTTAGCTCTCAACCGGCACAGGGTCGGCCCTGGAATCGTCCACCAGTGGAAGCATAGGCGCCAACCGTGCTTTCGCTTTTTTGGGTTTAGGCTTTAGGGTTTAGGATTTAGGGTTTAGGGTTTGGGGTTTAGGGTTTAGGGTCGAAGCCCCTTGACTCCTTCTTAACCCTCAGCACTAAAAACCCTAAACCTCTAGACCCTAGCCATAGGTTGGGGAGGCTAACCCCTACACCCCACACCCTAAACCCTGCACCCTACACCCTAAACCCTAAACCGCAAACCTTAAGTTTTAAACCCTAAACCCTAAACCCTAAACCCTAAACCCTAAACCCTAAACCCTAAACCCTAAACCCTAAACCCTAAACCCTAAACCCTAAACTCTAAACCCTAAACCTTGGATTCGTACAGGTTGTTAGGCTCCTCGGGAGCTTATACATACGCTCCTATCTTCCCACATCCCTGCTAAGGGCTTAGGGTTCAGGATTTCAGGGTACTCTACCCTAAACCCTAAACCCGAAACCCTAAACCCTAAACCCTAAACCCTAAACCCTAAACCCTTAACCCTATATCCTTAATAGGCTCTAGGATTTTAGGGTTTGGGGGTTCTTGTTTCGGGGAAAGAGTCCTGGAAAGCACGTCTTAGGCGGTTCAGCTTGACCGCATTGTTCTTTTCAAGTTTCACTTAAATGATAAGGCGGCATACAGATCGCAATTGGGGTTCTGGTTGCAGGTTTCAGACTTTAGGCTCTGCACCCCGAAACCCCCTAAACCTTGTACCCCAAACCCTAAAACTCAACCCCTACACCCCAAAGCCTGAACACTACACCCAACGCTCGTGAATATACAAGCCTGGGAGACGCCCCCCCCCCCCCCCCCCCCCCTTCACCCCCAATACCTTGCACCTAAGTCCTGAGCCCAAAAGCTTGGGGTCTAGGGGTTAGGGCCTAAAGTCTAGGGTTCAGAGTTTTAGAGGCCTGACCCCTGCACCCTTGAACCCAAACCCGAAACTTCAAAAGGCCGTAAGAAGGCCATGAGGTGGGTTCTCCGTTCAGGGTGTAGGGTTTAGTGTTTAGGGTTTAGGGCTAGGGTTTAGGGTTTCGGGTTTAGGGTTCAGGGTTTAGGGTTTCCGGTCTAGGGGGGTTGAACCCATGCTTGCCTTGAAGGTGGGTTCTCCGGCAGCAGCGCTGGGAGCTCGGAGTAGAACTTCTGTGGGATGATGCCAGCTTCCAGACTTCCCTCGGATCGGTTTAGGGTTTAGGGTTTAGGGTTTAGGGTTTAGGGTTTAGGGTTTAGGGTTTAGGGTTTAGGGTTTAGGGTTTAGGGTGGAGGGTGGAGGGTTGAGGGTTGAGGGCTTGGGAACATTGAGGGCTTAGGGTCTGGGTGCAAGACTTAGGTCTGGGATTGTTATTTAGGGCTTGGGGTTCAGGCTTCTATCGGACTTGCTTTAAGTTTGGGTGAACCCTAAAACCTAAACCCTGAACCCTGAACCCTAAACCCTAAGCCCTAAGCCCTAAGCCCTAAGCCCTAAGCCCTAAGCCCTAAACCCTAAACCCTAAAGCCCCAAAACCTTGAAGCCCCATACTCTGGGAGTATCTACAGAGCAGCTCGCCCTCATGGAGCACCCTTATACACCAGGGCTAGGGTTTAGGTCTAGGGTTTAGGGTTCACTTCCACGGTTTGTGTAGGGTTAAGGGTTTAGGGCTAGGGTTTCGGGTTTAGGGTTTAGGGCTCACTTCCACGGTTTGGGCACGCACAGGTTCTGGGTGACACTCCGCCAGGGCGACTGGGAGGCGGGGTTTAGGGTTTAGGGTTTCGGGTTTAGGGTTTAGGGGTAGCCCAGTGGTGCGCTTTTGCCATTTTTTTGGGTTCTAGGTCCTTTCTAGAGTAACCAGCCCGAAAACGGGTACCCTTGCCACATGATGGCTGCTAAGCCAGCAACGGGTGCAGGGTTTTGGGTTTCCGGGTTTATCCCGCCCGTTTTTGCACTTTTTGGGGTGGCGACCTCATTTTCAGCCCCACATCTCCATAAATCAACCTAAGACCTAAGCCCTAAACCTTACCCGAAACCCTAAGCCCTAAGCCCTAAACCCTGAAGAATGCACCCTAACCCCAAACCCTAGACCCCAAACCCTAAACCCTAAACCCTAAACCCTAAACGCTAAACCCTAAACCCTAGACCCTAGACCCTAAACCCCAAACCCTAAACGGCTACTGACTGCTAAAGCTTGGTAACCCCAAGCCGGAGAGAGGTACCTATTTGGACCCATGCGGGGGTTTTCCGCCAGGCAATCCTAAACTCCTAAAAGCTTCGCTCCAGACTCAATTGTAACTGTAGTTAGAACTGCACTTATAACCATATTAAGGCGCTTAAGGGGCTTCTCAGTGGGTCATAAGTACAGTTATCATTGGTGGAAAAGTACCATGCACCTCCAAGCAGGGTTTAGGGCTTAGGGCTCGGGGCTTAGGGCTTAGGGTTCAGGGTTTAGGGTTTAGGGTTTAGGGCTAGAGTTTAGGGTTTAGGGTTTAGGGTTTAGGGCTAGGGTTTAGGACTAGGGTTCAGGGTTCTGGGTGCAGAGGGGTCACTCCAGACCGCGGCGGCCTGAAGCCACGAAGACTTTAAGAAGCTCCTTCCACACAGAGAGCTACATGCCTGGACCCTAAACCCTACACCCTAAACCCTAAACCCTAAACCCTAAAGCCTAAACCCTAAACCCTAAAGCCTAAAGCCTAAACCCTAAACCCTAAACCCTAAACCCTAAACCCTAAACCCTAAACCCTAAACCCTAAACCCTAAACCCTAACCTAAACCCTAAACCCTAAACCCTAAACCCTAAACCCTAA